TTTTGCCAATTGTGTCTCAATTAACCCAAGTAGTTTATCAATTTGCTCTTGAATCAGACAACAGATCAATGCCAATTATCTTAATTTTTCCAAGGCCTTCTACTGAGCACCCCATGAAAAACATTTGTTTAAGCTCAAGTGCCATGGTATAAAGGATTCCTTGTTAGCTCGGTTTTATCTAGCAAAAACACAAGGTTGTGATCAATAATGAGACGTCTGATTTTCTCCCATTTACATCTGGAGTCCTCCGGGGATCAATTTTGGGACCATTGTTCTTCTTGATATATATAAATAAATGCCTAGTGTTATTCAAGGTAAACATCTTTGCCCCTCTTTGCCAATGATTCTAAGTGTTTTCACCAAATTCTCACCCAAGTTTATGGTGCAATTTACAAGAAGACTTAACTAGGTTATTTAACTGGTGACACATTTTGGGAATGGAGTTCAAAAAAATAAAGTGTAAGGTTCCAAGGGGTAATTTGGATATATCAACAAAGTTGAAATGGTAAATTGGCCACCGTAATGATTACAAAAGCTGACGTTTCGAGCGTTAGCCCTTCACTCCGACGAAGGGCTAACGCTCGAAACGTCAGCTTTTGTAATCATTATGGTGGCCAATTTACCATTTCAACTTTGTTGATATATCCAAATTATTTCGTTACTCCCACCGACGCAGCCCCAAACAGTTTCTTTCGAAACTATCAGCCTTTATTCATTTGTTCCAAGGGGTAGTATGTACTAAATGTGTCTATGAGAGGGAATATTTTCTTGAAAGAACCAAGTTGGAGAGTGTTACTGTTGAAAAAGACCTGGGTATTTTGATTAGCCACAATTTAAGCTGGAATCATCTCCTTGATATCATCTTGTCCAGAGCTCAAAGGATGGTTAATTTACTCTGTAGGACATGTCACTGATATTAAAACTACTAAAAAGTTACTTTACATTTACTTGGGTGCAGTCACATCTGGAGTATGAGTTAAGTGTATTTTTTTTGTTATTAATATTTGACACTGATTTTTTCAGATACATATATAATTAACAACAAGAAACCGAGCAACTTCAGAATACCCGGCCACTTTTGAGCATTACTAAAATCGATTGCTCCTAGCTGTGCTCCCAAAGTCATTAAATGAGGAAATGCCCAAATAGTCCCCCATTCCCACAATGAAAAAATTATTGAAGGAGAAGCCAGTAAAACTAGTGCTCCCAAAGTCCCAAACTCCCGCAGTCAAAGAATAATTAACAGAGATCGATAAACTGGTGCTTCTGCAGTCCTGCACTCCCACAGTCCAAAAATAATTGATGGAGAGATCGTTAAACTAGTGCCCCGCAGTCTCGCAGTCAAAGAATAATTAATGGAGAGATTGTTAAAGTAGTGCTCCCGCAGTCCTGCAGTCAAAGAATAATTAATAGAGAGGTTAATGAAACTAGTACTCCCGTAGTCACGCACTACCACTTTGTACAGTCTGGTAAAAAAAAAATGGGAAATTGTCTGATCGAGAGTTAACAACTGAAAGTATGTTATTAGAAAAATGGGATTGCAGTTTGTTTTTACTTAATTTCAAAAATTGATACTGGGACTTGTTGTAAATAAAGATTGAATCCAAATAATGTATAATTACCAGTTCCTGGATATCCCACAAAGATGGTGAAGATGTTGAGTGGCTGATTGTGGGTTAAGGTTTTCACTGTTGCTTGATTTGAGGCCAGAACAAATGCCATTGAGGTTAACAGAGATGGAGTGAAGTATCCTTCACAGCTACCCACTGACATCGCCTTGTTTTTGATGAAGTCATAAACTTCTGGAGTTTCAAACAGTAGGTCATAAGGTAACTGCACATCATTTAGTCGTTTTTGAAGATTAACCTAACTTTGATCGTTCTGTTTACCGAGTTTTGAGAGCACGAACACTGCGAAGATAGTTGAGAGAAACTCTACTGACTATGATTTAGAGAAGACTTGGAATAAAATGAAAGCATTGTAAACGTGTTATTCGTAGTTCAGCACACTACAATTGTAATCAATGAAAAGCCACGCTTGCAGTTCAAAAGACTTGTTGCATTGATGTTGATTTGAAAAAAAAAAAACAAAGAAAGTTTTATACAAGCACACATGGGAAAACATACATTTTGAATGCTAATTACTACTCTATTCAGAAATATAGAAGGGTGTAATGTAAACCAGGAATCAATTAGAGTGAATGGAAAGGTAGGAGTAGGAAGACCTTATCCCAAAGGAGATTAACTGCAATTGCATAAATGCGCGCATTTATTTTACCTTGGCATTGCTAGAAATATGGAAGATAAAGGAATTCAAGTTGCCATAGGACTGAAAAGGCAGAAGCAAACCAATACGGGTTGTAAAAGTACACCAGAAGTCCCAAAAAAAGATTGTGGAACCCAATGCGGTGTATCACTGAAAGGCAGTTATAGGCACAACAATAAACACCAAAAGTGGCGATACGACGACGTAATAAAGCTTATGCTGGATAAACAGTTGCTGATCCATTGGTTAATGACTGAAGGACTGGTAGCAAAGGGGCGCTTGTGTCCAATATGTGGCCTTGAGATGAGTTTGACAACATGTGATGACCGATCTGATGGCTTGAAGTGGGTATGTAGAAGGCAAGATAACAGAAAGAGACAATATTGGTGGGTTTTTTTTTGCAGTTACATTTTGTATTCTCAACTCAGTCTGATACATATTTTATTCTACTTATAGATGACCTAATCAGCAATTCCATTATTAATTTTGGTTTACTAAAGAAAGAAGAATATACATTTGTCGGTTTACTAGCCCGTGAAGTCAAAATGCTCAGTGATTTAATATTGAATTATGCTCAGAATGCTGTAGCAGCTATTTCATTCGGCGACTGCGGGACTGCAGGAGCATCTATTTAGAGATGCATATAAGTGGCCGGGTATTCTGAAGTTTAGCACAAGAAACTGTCTTCAAATTTATTGGATCAACTTGTGCAATGCAATGTAATTTGCAATTTGTATTAAAGATTAAAGATATCACTCAACAGAAGTGGACAGAAATGATCCTAATACAATTGTTTTGGTAAATAGTAAAGAAAAGGATGACACATTTCTGTTCAACTCATTGTGCAGCATTTTGCTTGTTTGTTTTTAGGAAAAAGTGCCATTTTGCAATTATAACTTAGTAGGAGTCTACTGGCATTCTATCACAATTCCTGTTATCTGATCAGCTGTGCTACTACTCACAATCTGTTCCACTCTAGATAGTGATTCACCAAACATTGTGTGGTTGTACACAAATAAAATGAAACCATGATCCTGAGTGTAGATCTATTTTAAATTCTGAACCACTCTTCCTAATATTAATTTTTGTCATTCAGCAATTTTGGTAAATGTGGCTAAATGTAATTTAGGCAAGGTTAAATTTTGAGCCAATGCAGTCAGCGGTCTCCTTCCCAAGCGTATGTGATCTGCGGGGTGACCGCAGGGGCCTTTGCTTATCGTGTGACTTATGTTGCATCTCATGCTGGCATTTTGAGCTGATCTTTGTGGATCTATCGCTTATAGCGAATCTTTGCGGATTCTGGCTCCCAGCCCGTCCCTCCCCTTTCTGTGCATTGGTAAGTGAGGTCAGGTGAGTATGTTCCACTGAATTCTTTCAGTGTGACAGTGCCAGTTGGTGGCTGCATGCAAGGGTGGTTCCCACTCGCAGGGTTGCCATGGATACCTCCTTGCTATGCCTGAAGCAATCAGGCTCCCGTCCGACCTTTAAGGCACCAGTTCCCAAGCTCATCTATTGGTGATGAGTTTAATATCTTATGATTGAGAAAAAACTAGAAATCATTTGAATTTTTTTTGCAGCAGTTCTGACCACAGCCTGATTTCCATGTATCAGAAAATTATGTCTGTAATACCTTTGAAACAAAGATCAGAAATCAGTCAGCAATGCAAACTGTTAATGACAATAATATCATTCAACTGTACTTACAGTCTGAAGCACTCCCTCATGGCTCCTTGATCAAATGGCTACAGGAAGAGAGTAAATACATCACTTCAAAAGAAACATGTCAGCTTAAAAATCAAGAAGTTATTGAGAAGTTAATTGTATTGGGGAGGGGGGGCTCAGAGGTCTCAGTATTCAACACATCAGTTGCTTGTTAATTTATGAATGGTTCATTTCTTTTCCTTAATTAGTTACAACATTTGCAGGATATTTCATTGCAATTTTCCAAATGAAGTATTTTTTAACATCATACTTCATTTTCACTTGGTAGGACCTCTTACTGTCTAAATTCACCTTGAGCCTAAAGCAGTTGACCCAGTGTTTGAATAGGTGCTTTAAGTCAGTTTTGTTGGGTTGCAAGAGACTACTCAGTATTAGAGTCATAATTAAATGTATTATGCAAGCTTTCCCGTTGGCCCGTTCGCTCAAGAATTAATCTGCTCTCTTCTTTGACTATGTCTGTGAACGTAAAGCTGATGTGTTTGCAATAACCAAGACTTGGCTTTCGGTTAATGACTCGGCGGTGTGCAAGGAGATTACGTCTGCTGGATATAATTTTGTTCATTGCCCGAGGAGCGATCGTGTGGGTGGTGGCATTGGTCTCTTATTCAGGGATGGCATTCATGTTTCGAATATTTCTTCTGGTTCCAAGTCATCTTTTGAATTTGCAGAATATTTATTATTTAATGAGTCTTTGCGGTTTAGACTTGTCATCATTTATCGACCACCTTATTCTTCGTCCCATCCTATTACTATATCCACATTTCTGGACGAGTTTGCAGTCTACCTTGAATCAATCATCTTGATGTCTGAGCCACTTTGTTTGATTGGCGACTTCAACGTTCATGTCAATGATCGTAGTGATTCTTCTGCTTGTTGTTTCCATGAGCTACTGGAGTCCATGTCCTTAACTCAGCATGTAACTGTACCAACACATGATCAGGGTCACACATTGGATCTGGTAATTACCCGGAATTCTGACAGTTTCATCTGCGGGGCTCCATTCACCAACTCCCCTATCTCGGATCATTTACCTGTGGTCTGTTCATTGAGAGTGGCGAAGCCGCCCTCGTCTGTTTCTTCTGTTTCATTCAGGAAAATAAGTGCTATTGATACCGCCGCCTTCAACCACGATATTATTGACAGCGACTTGTTTCATCGACTGTCTGACAACCTTGGAGAGCTTGTCTTGCAATTTCATAATACTTTACAAGCGTTGTTGGATTGTCATGCACCTGTCAAGACAAAACAAATTCGCGCTCGACCCTCTGCTCCATGGATGACTGATGAAATTAGGTGTACAAAACAGAAAAAACGAAAGGCAGAAAGGTGTTGGCAAGCTTCGAAATCACCCACTAATTTGGCTCTTTTTCATTCCCAGAGAAATCGTGTGACATATTTGATGAATAAAGCTTGTCAAGAGTATTACAGGAATTTAATAGATGATATGGGTAATGACCAAAGAAAGTTGTTTAAGGCCAGCAGGTCTCTTCTGAATCTCGCTGAGGGTCCTACTTTCCCTCCATGCACAGACTTTCAAGTTCTGGCGACTAATTTTGGTGAGTTCTTTGCTCAGAAGATTGCTGGAATAAAGTCCATGATCTCAGACACTGCTCCCCAATCTTGATCTAGCACCCTACCTGCTGAATTGGTTACTGATGCGTCATTTTCAGAATTCGAACTTTTATCGACAAATGATGTACAAGCAATTATTTTGTCATCTGCTAAGAAGTCCTGTCTTCTTGATCCAATTCCAACTACATTACTTGTTGATCATCTTAATGTACTCCTACCTACGATTACAAGAATGATTAACCTATCGCTGAGTACAGGTCATTTCCCTGACTATTGGAAACTTGCGATAGTGCAACCACTTCTCATGAAGGCTGGTCTTGATATTGTTCTTAAGAACTACAGACCAGTGAGCAACCTACAGTACATCTCAAAGATAGTTGAGACTGTTGTTGCTAAGCAGCTGTACAAGCATTTGTCTTCGAATAACCTGCTTCCAGTGTATCAATCGGCGTACCGCCTTCACCACAGTGCTGAAACCGCTCTGCTAAAGGTTGTAAACAATATTCTACTCAATATGGATAAACAACGGGTGATTTTACTATTTTCTCCTTGATCTTAGTGCCACTTTTGATACTGTGGATCATGGCATGCTGCTACGACGATTAGAAAACTCCTTTGGTATCCAAGGCAATGTCCTCTCATGGTTTCGATCTTACCTCTCTGGTCGTTCTCAGTGCATTTCGGTACACAGTGCACTTTCAAGAAGATTCAGTTTGTTTGGATTGTGGTGTACTGCAGGGATCTTGTCTGGGCCCTCTTTTATTCACACTCTACACTAGTAGATTGTTTCAGATTGTTCAATCGCATTTGCCTGACGTTCACTGTTTTGCAGATGATACTCAATTATATATTTCTTTTCGTCCCAATGACACTATTGATGAGTCTTCTGCCCTAAATGCTTTGGAGTCCTGTGTTGATGATATTCACTCATGGATGTTAACTGACAGTCTAAAGCTCAAAGATGTTAAGTCTGAATTTTTGGTCATAGGAACACCTCAGCAGTTGGCTAATTTAAAGTTAATACTCATTGTATATGGGTGGGTAATTGCAGTGTCTCAGCAGTCTCCTCTGCTAGAAACCTCGGTTCTTGGTTTGACACAAAATTATCAATGGCTACCCACATATTAACAAAATTGTCTAGCTCTTGTTTTTATTATCTCTATAATATTCGGCATTTATGGAAGTACCTCTCTAGACGGTGCACTGAGACTCTGATGCATGCATTTGTGTCATCTAGGATTGACTTTTGTAACAGTATTTTGTATGGTATTCCTGACTATCATTTAAATACGCTTCAAAGAATACAGAATGCTGCTGCTAGACTGGTTTGTCAGCAGAGTAGATACTGCCATATTAAACCTTTACTTTTTGATTTACACTGGCTACCAGTTAAATTTCAAATTGTTTTAAAATTCTTTTAATTACTTTTAAGGTTCTTAAAGGTTTGGCACCTACATATCTAGCCTCTTTAATTTCCATGAAGTCACCTTCACGGTATAATCTTAGGAGTTCTCGTGATAACCTCCTCCTTAGTTATCCTAAAAAGTTGTCTAAAGTAACTATTGGTGATCGCTCCTTCATGTATGCTGCACCAAAACTTTGGAACGCACTTCTTCTGGAAATTAGGTCTGAAAACACTGTTGCTGGCTTCAAGTCTAAACTTAAGACACATTTATTTCATGCTGCGTTTTCATAGCCTGCCTAATATTAATTACTTCATTTTATTTTATATGTTAATTATTCTATATATTGTGATCCTAACCTATTTAGTATTGTTCATGCGCATTTGAGCATATCCACATGGAATTTGCGCACTACAAATGCTGTATTATTATTATTTTCCATCTCTTGGCCATTAGCTATAAGTATGACTATGGAGATGACTGAGAACTACATACCGTAAACAACAATTCATTTAATGTAAACAAGACTCACCAGTAATTCCATTTTGACTCTCACTTCATCTTGTACCCAGTTTTTCTTCATTGCATTATACCGATGTCTAACGGCAACTTCTGTAGGGCATGAGTCATCAATATGAAATTTTTCCCAAGGATCAGGTAAACTTTTTGCTTTTTTAAGAGCATTCTTCCAGCTTAAGTGGCGGTGCTGTTTGTGGTGGAGAACACTTTGACCTTGAAGATCATCAGCAGTACCCTCTTTACTGTTAAGATTAATTTCTCTGTTAGGGGGCATTTCATCATCCATCAATAATCCAATTTCATCATTCCATTCATCTGTTGTTTCTTGTCCTACATGTCCACATCTTCCAGACTCAGGGTCAGTTGTTCTGCCATTGTAATTGCTTACACCCTGCAGACTCTCCATAGTAGACCTCCTCTCCTTTACTTTACAAAACCTTCTTTGAAGAATTTACCATGCTTGACTACTGGCAATATCAGGATTATATTTTCTGAGAAATTGAAAAAAAGAAAATAATTATCTTACTTTAAATTTCCTGAAGTCAATATTTTTTGAGTAGGTAACTTGTATGTAAAAAAGTCACCAATTGACATGATAAGGCTGGTGATGAGAGTTTTAAAGAAAAAATCTACAAACTTCTGCTAATTATTTAGGGTCAATGTTAGAGGTACAAATAAAGACTTGACATGAATTCCCCAAAACCCTATTAGTCATGAAAATCCAGAAAAAATCAAATCTAACATCTCTGTAACAGAGTTTGTGTTGTATTCTCTTTTGACGAATCTAGCTGCATGTTGCTAAACTGCTTCAACTACATCAATCTGATCTTGCTGTTAGGGATCCCACACAGCTATGGTGAACTCCAGATTTGTTCTGACAATGGTAACATATACAAAACACTTTGTACTCTCCGAACAAGGGTATGGGTTATGTTTAACAAATCCAGGTGACTTATTGGCCTTATTTATAATATTACTAACATAAGAGTTCCATCACTGGTTGGCATAATTCTCAGGTAGGGATGCCTCATCATAGAGAATATCTTCTGACCACAGGGGGTCCATACAATCTGTTTGTGTAGCCAACTGTTGTTTTATAGTGAATGTACCAGATTTACCGTTTGCCTCACCTATAGTGATATATTGCTGACTATGTACATAAATCATTGATAAATAAACATTGAATTACTTTACCTGTGGTGTATAGTTGTCCTTTGGCCTCAAAAATGTTTTTTTGAGCGATTTTGAATAAGTCTGATTTTGTCAAAATGTAATGCATAAAAGAAAGACAAGGGTGGAAGCCTTGTTTTGAAAGGGTTCAAGCGCCCAAGCGATTTCCCCCCCGAAAATTGCATCGCTCCGCTTTCAAACTTCACAGCGTTGAGGTCAAAAGATGCACGATTCTCCTCGTACCTTCCAATCGAAAATCCATCCAAACGGACCGGAGCTAGCCCTCGAAGAAAATCAAAATCCCACAGTATTTGAGCGCCTGGAATGCATAGCAAGATTCTCACGTGCCAGCCAGACACCGTCACGCTGATTGCCCTTTTCTGATTGGACGACATTATTTTGAATAGGACGACGTTATTTTGAATTCGTCAATCAGGATGACTATATACACCACAGGTAAAGTAATTCAACGTTTATTTATCAATGATTTAGGTACATAGTCAGCAATATATCCCTATAGGTGAGGCAAACGGTAAATCTGGTACATTCACTATAAAACAACAGTCGCGGCTACACAAACAGATTGTATGGGCCCCCTGTGTTCTGACCATCAATGAAGTAATCATACGTATTTAATACCGCAGTTCAAAATATATGAACTTCATATATTCATTGTATCTGATTTATCATCACGGGTTTATTACGAATCAACTTAACGGCCTGCTCCTAGTTGGCTTGTTAGCTCAATTTGGTAGAGCGCTGCACTAGTATCGCAGAGGTCAGTGGTTCAAATCCTGTACAGGCCTGATTTGTTTCAGGTCTGATTTTCGCTATTGCATAAATAGCGCTATCTACTGTGAAGGATCGTGCATCATACGTATTTAATACCACAGTTCAAAATATATGAACTTCATATATTCATTGTAAATGAAGTAATCTGTCAATAGAGATTCCTTATTTTGTGATAACCTTACTGTGTAGCATTTGATCACAATCAACTGCATTTGCCATGTTTTGGCCCACGAAGTTAACTTCTCAACATCATTTTGCAAGATGGCACAGTCATTCACAGAATCAATAGGCCATTTTACAGTTGTGTACTTAGTTGCCAAGCCTTTGATTCAGAGTGAGGCTAAAGATGACCTTGTTGTGATAGAGACCTGTATCTAGTTAGCATGATAACAAAGTGATTTACATTTGAAAGGCAGCAAGGTTTGTATCATAACAAGGTCATCTCTAGCCTCACTCCTGTTCAAAGGCTTGGCAACCAAGCACACAACTGTAAAATGGACTATTTAACAATTGGTTCATGCTTTAGCGTGCACTATCGAGTTATGGAGCACGCGGGAAGTTTGGAGAGCACGAAAGAAGCATAAGAGTTGCCCGAGGCGATAGCCGAGGGCAACTCTAGCTTCATGAGTGCTCTCCAAACTTCCCACGTGCTCCATAACTCGATAGTGCACGCTAAAGCATGAACCAATTGTTAAATAGTCCATTTTACAGTTGTGTGCTTGGTTGCCAAGCCTTTGAACAGGAGTGAGGCTAGAGATGACCTTGTTATGATACAAACCTTGCTGCCTTTCAAATGTAAATCACTTTGTTATCATGCTAACTAGATACAGGTCTCTATAGTTTCTTTTTTTTTCTCTTTTTCTTGATGGTCCATCTCAGTAGTAGAGGGTCCTCGACTACTTTATGGGCCATCCTTAGGGCATCATCGCTACCTTAAAGGTTTGCTACCTTTAGAAAAAGGGGGGTAAATGTCAAGTTATTCAAAGGCAGTTCAGACCAATAACTACCAACGAAGCAAGTTAACGGTATACGGCTAACGGTTCAAAATCGTGAGGACAGATTATAGTCTGAAGGCTCGTCAAAAGATCTGGAAAACGGTGGTATTAGACCCAATGAAAAGTTTGAATTATTTCCCTTTTTTACACACAGCAAAATAAGAATTCGAAAGCAATCACGAAAAAGTTCAAGTTTCGGCAAGATTTCTGCATGACTACTTACGTGTACTTCATTATGCATACAGCTAAATGCATGGATGAAAGAAAACAATGGCAAAAAATGGATTGCCTTTAGGACTAGTAGGCTCCGCTTTAGAACAGTTTAGGGTTATACGGAAATCTTTCCCACTTATTTCTCACCTCTTAAATCCTTTAGACCTTTCCTTCACAAGATGTCAAAGTGTTGATTTTAAGACTTGCAATTCCAATGGATCAAACGAAAGGATAGCTGGGGAACGACCGATCAGACCAAGCAGATCTGCTAATGGGATCGTTCATCTAAGAAAGGAGACTGGGTTCAAGTATTAAACATTGCTTTCCAGACCTCACTCTAGCTTGAATTCGGTCAACATCCCAACGTGACAACTAACGTGATCGTGACAAGCAAACTACTCGGTATGATTACGACCTAGGCCTGAGAAATAATGTTTCTTAAAGGACTAGTTTATGTTGTATTGGCTCTGCTGGGAAATGGAGCGAAAACTGAAACTTTCAGAGGACATTCAGTTGTAGACGCAAACAAAGTTATTGGTCCATTGGAGCACTTCTGGGAGAGCACGGGCTTCTGTCCACCAGACCCTCATCAAGACTTCTATAAGTTCTTCTTTGCAAATGACGAGCTCCAGAACTTGGCATATGTTGGATCTGTACCGAATAGTGGTATAAAGCAAGTGCGAATTCACTGGCTGCTAGACCTGGTTTCCATGAAGCTGGAAAATGATAAATTTGTCTATAATTTCACATTTCTTGACAAGGCAATACAGCTGCTTATTGATAATGACTTGAAACCTGGCTTTGAACTGATGGGAAATCCATCAAATTTCTTTTCAGATTTCGATGATATTGTACAAGTCTATGCATGGAAAAACCTCATAGAAAGTTTGGGTAAACATCTTATGGGTAAGTATTCGGAAATAGAATGTGGCAGGTTCCTGTGCTTCCAAGGCCTTCAAACCCCGACTGTATTTATGACAAGATAATTAATTTTGGTGATATCAACTGAGTTGATGAAACCAAGTTGTGGTCAGTCATTGTGGTAAATAACACTTTAAAAGAGAAATGTTGCTGTTTGTCTCACAATGTGGTCAGTTTGGATGTGGATCATCAGACCTTTGAACTGCATACTGCTAGTCTTCTTCGTATACACGGTATAATTATTCTGTTGTGCTCAGCTGTGATTGGATAGAAATTCCAGGGCTGTGATTAGTGCATCTTTGGATCAAGTTGCCTCTGTGGTCCGCTGTTGCATGACTCTCTTGCTGTTGTATTTTTTGATTGTCGGTAGACCGGCAGACCCATGCAAGAGAGAATCAGGGAACTTGACATGGATATGTCACTCACTAACATACAGACCTCCACCATTTCAGAGCATGCCCACAACAACTGGACACCACCCACTTAGGAGCAAAGTAAAGACTATTGATAGTGATCCCTATTTCAACACAAGCACAGTGAAAGAGGCAATTCATACAAGACTTCACCCTAAGATGCAGGGACAGTGGAATTGAAATCCTAAAAACAGACTTTAGAAAAACACTATATCATTACCTGAAGAAAACTAGCAGTGTGCAGGTGAAACGTCGCAATCTACATCCTAAGTGACTACAGGGAAGCAGGGATGGCATAGTGGTTACAGCTCTCGCCTCCCACCAATGTGGCCTGGGTTCGATTCCTGGACCCAACACCATAAGTGGGTGGAGTTTGTGTCAGTTCTCTTCTCTGCTTCGAGGGTTTTCTTTAGGTTCTGCGGTTTTCCTGTCCCTCACCAAAAACCAACATACAGCTGATTCCAGCTGGCTGTAAGCTGTGCTCCAAGATCACACATGGACCGTGAAGCGGCTGCCAGAGGCGCCATTGTAACCTTTCGGTTCAACCTTGTTGAGCTGAATCGTTGCTGTACTTTGCGACAGCGATTAGCAGTGACAATTATTATTATTATTATTATTATTATTATTATTATTGTTATCATGAGACAAATGATTATATTTCTTTTTTGATATTAAGGCCTTACAATAACCAACCTTTCTGCACAAAACAGTCCTAACAGGGTTGTAAACCTTGAGAATATATATATTTTTTATCTTGATCCCATAGTCTAGAGAATGACAGCTTTGTAAAGGAATGAGATTCTCCCGAGTACTTATTTATTGCCAGGTATCAAAAGAAATATCACAAACATTGGGTTGTTTCCAAGATAGTCATGGTATACAAAGTATGTGAATGAAGTTTTCATCATAGAGACAGCATCATGTCCCAATTCACCTCCATTTTTACTCTTCTTATTCAATTTTTGAAATGCAAGGGTCTTGTAGATGGTTTTTAGGATTAATTTTTGGAACTAGGAAGTCTAACCACCAAGAATTTTCTTCTTAGTGAAACATGGTAGCTGAGTCTATTCTCACTGGTTGATTGTTGGCTTAACATCCTGACTGAAAAATGATTGATAACCTGCATGTGTACTTTGAAACTCATGACAAAGCTTCCTCTGCTAGACTTGATGAAGATGAGTTTTTATTGTACGAGTAATATGTGATGCATATCTTGTTCTTTTATGGCAGAGGTATTTGGGTTAGAGGAAATTTCTCACTGGAACTTTGAGTCATGGAATGAACCAGAGAATAAACACCATTTTGATGGTCTTCATGTCTCCACTAAAGGATACCTCATGTATTATGATGCTTGTTCTGAAGGACTTAAGATGGCCCATCCATCTTTACGACTAGGAGGGCCTGCCACAGGGTCCCCAGACACACACCCAATATTTTGGGTAATTATCTTTAAGTGAAACCTTCAAATAGTAGGGCTTTTTGAATAGATATCATTTTGATAGCAAATGGTGGTTTGATTTCTTTTCTGCCCTGTTTTTTGTGAGGTTAACTCCTTCTTTAAACTAAATTTGCTTTGCAGCATATAACATAATCAGAGAGCATATTGCATAATCAGGAAGTGTAGTTATTTGCAATATATTTTATTCTACTGGATACAAGGTAATGAGAGAATGCATAAGCTATATTTGGACTTCCACAGTCTGAAGATTTGGCTTCAAAATGTGGGAGGGATGACCTCTGACTTTTTATGTTTTAGTTCACTGGATGATGTGTGTTTGGATAATGCATTATTATGATACCTGACTTGCAGCTGATAGACAAAGCAGAAATAATTGACTTGTTTAATATTTGATTTGGTCTTCTTTGGTCTTGTTTTACAGTCTCTACTACAACACTGCAACAATGGTACTAACTTTTTTACTGGGCAAAGAGGAGTTAGACTAGATTTTATTTCTTTTCACATCAAAGGGCAAGGACACTCTTTAACTATTTTACATAATGAAACAGTGGTCCTTGAGAAAATTGCTAGACTGATTCCAAAATACATAACCACACCAATATACAATGATGAAGGTGACCCTTTGGTTGGTTGGAATTTAGCTGAAGAGTGGAGGGCAGATGCAACATATGCTGCAATTGTTGTCAAGGTGAGAAACCCAGGGACACATCCTGATCTCCCCCAAAAGCTCATTGCCTCCTTTGTAAATTTTGTTAAGTCCTTAGCTGACTCAGCAGAGGTTTTATCTAAAATCTAAATTGGTGTCTGTATTATCAGTGAAAAAGGTGAAAAGCCTCTTTCATTACTTTACAGCATTTACAGCATAGTCAGGCTTCAAAAGAAAATGCAATGTATTGCTCATTAATCATCGACGTAATAAGCTTAATTCTACATGTATTTTTATTGGTTCCTATGCCTAGATATATTTATCTCCATTAACAACATCATGTTCTTAAAATATTAAAGACAGATTCCATGTTACATTAGACCACAGAAGACATGGAAATGTGCTAAGAACAATTCAGTGGCACACTCAACTGTGCACTCTGCACCACAGAACAGATTCATGGCAACATGGAATCTATTTGTTAAGCTGTGTGTGCTAATTTCTAATTTTATAGCCACCATCCGTCCAAGTTATTCATTTTTCTTGCTATAAGTTAAAATACACGAGATGTATCATGCTATTTGTCAAGTAAACATTGTGTATACTTGTTATTTTAAATGATCTTTTAATTTAATTTCTATTTCTGTTTTGAGGCTCAGGCTTTCTATTTTTAGTGCATGAAATTATTACTGGTTTGACTTATCCTTTAGTTAATCAAACTTTGTGCTTGAAATATGGCAGTTTCTCTTGGACAATAAGGTTACAGTGGTACTCCTTGTTACCTATAACCCTACATCATTTCATTTGAATTTAAGATTTTTGTATTTGAAAAAAAGTGTCAAGATCATTCAATACAAGCCAATCCTCCAGAGCGGAAGGTCAAGGGTTCAAGCCCTAGACTGGACCAACTCAGGGTCTTAAAATAACTGGGGAGAATGTTCTGCCTTTGCTATGATATCTGCAAATGGTTAGACATTCTAGTCTTCTCAGATAATGACGAAAAACCATAGGCCCCATCTCCTGCATCTTCTCTGTACTGGTTAGCAGGGGACGTTGAAGAACCCACGTTCTTATCGCAAAGAGTAGGGAACATAGCTCGCAATGTTGTGGTCTAGCCTATTTACTGAAAATTGTAATGTACATTTGATCGTAATCAATCAATCAATCAGTAATCTTTATTTATACACAACAGGTATTTAAATGCGTATGATGCACGATCCTCACAGTAAAGAGCGCTATTTATGCAATAGCGAAAATCAGACCTAAAAAAAAAAAAAGGCCTGTACGGGATTCGAACCACTGACCTCTGCGATATTAGTGCAGCAATACAAGTGCAGCGATACTAGTTCAGTGATACTAGTGCAGAGATACTAGCGCTGCACTAGTATCGCACAGGTCAGTGGTTCGAATCCCGTACAGGCCTGATTTTTTTCAGGTCTGATTTTCCCTATTGCATAAATAGCACTCTTTACTGCGAGGACCGTGCATCATACGTATCTATAACCGCAGTTCAAAATATATGAACTTCATATAATTATTCATCGTATAAGTATTTAAAGCGACACTTCGCTTGTGGGGTCATGTCTAAATAATGAAGTAAGATAACTAATGAATTAGAGAATAAATAGGATATACACCAGCTAAAATCCAATCATATCCAAATGTTAATTTGTGCAATATTAAATTATTATTATTATTAGACTTCATGTAGTTCTTAGGTTAAGCAGTCCATTAACTGTGATTTAAGAGAATCTATTAATCCCACTGAGGTGGTAATGTCAGAGTAAATCCAAGTTATAAGCTAAAGAAGAATGGAGCTCAACTCATTCTTACAATATTTGCAGATTCTGGTGCAACATCAGGACTGGTTGTTAAAGAGTAATTTCAGCATCAGGTTTGTGATTGGTGATACTGAAAGTAATTTATGACAGTACTTAGTAAGATAATTAAATATAATGATAATTACAAAAAAGTGGTGATATCTTCAGGTTTGTCCTTGATTCAATCATTCCTCCAGTGTCATGCCTGGTCAGATTTAAGTGTAATGGAACAACCTTTACCTGTTATGATAAATCTGTTTGATTTCTTGTTTAGGTATAACCTTCTTAGCAATGATAATGGATTTATCAGTTATCCACCAGTCCACTTCCGTCAACGCACACTATTGGCAAGATTTCAAATGAATCATTCTCATCCACGGAAGGTTGAATTCGTCAAGAAACCAATTCTTAGTGTTATGGGGTTGTTAGCATTGCTAGGAAATCAGCAAATCAAAGTTTCTTCTTTTGGAGAAAATGAAGACTGTGGAATAGTAGCCAGTATTTTGAGGCCTCAAAGACACTGCAATACCAATGATTGGGAACTGGCAGCTGTGTTTTACAACAGCAATGATACATCTGGAAGAACTTCCGTCTCAGAAGTAAACTTAACTGTTTTGAACTTGCCGCCAAGGCAAGATGTAGCATTTGTTTTATTTAAACTGGATAATGAACATGGAAATCCATTTCAAATATGGAAGAAGATGGGCTCTCCAATGTTTCCCTCTGATGAACAATTTTATACACTCCGTCTTCATCAGGTAACCTCACTAGTGTTGGAAATTGTTGTGTCATTATCAAATATTCTTAGGGAAGAGCAGGTTCATGACCAGTATAGTCACTCAACAAAACCAACAACAAGTTTTAAATCCATAGAATGAAAGAAGAAGTGTCACTTAAATGGTCAAGGTCATTTTTAAAGGCATGAAATTGTGACCGCTGTACTATTGATTTTAGATACCCACGAATATCTAAAAACTCCTAACAAAAACAAACATGAAAATCCTAAATGGCTAAAATAACAAAGCTACAAATATGTCTGATATACACCTGAACCAGTCAATTAGACTGGATGTGGATGTGGCCAAAGCCCAGGTGAGGGGAGGGTAGGTTTGGGACTCCTCAGCCTATTGTAGTTTGCTCGTGTTGATGGAAAGGGCTTTCTAGCTTATTTTGACAAGTCACTGTTTTGCCTGACTGGCAGTCAGGCTTATGCTGTGGGGCTGCTCAGTAATTGGGCTAAAATGGAGGGTGGTTGAGTGTCAAAAGCATTATATCCAGGAGGGGGTTCTTGCAAATGTCTACCTGCTGAGTATTTTTGCTTGAAGGTGGGTAATTTGGCCTTCAAGCCTGCCTGGCCAATGAAAATGAAGGGTTTGACATCAATTTGTGGGAAGACAATGGACCTTCCTTCTTGAGGGTGGGCTGTTGACAGCCCTGTCTCTAAAACTCTGTGGTGGGGAGGTTATCCTTTGGTCTTGTCAACCAATTGTAATTTGCTTTTCATTCAAAAGAGGATTCCTTAGGAAAGACTGTTGTAGCTTGCCTTTTTTTACCCACTGTTTTGTGTGATTGGCAGTCAACCCTTCCTGCTGTAGAACTGCTGAATGTTATAAGCAGTGGGCCTGGTAAGGGTCACAATTGACACTGCAACATTTTCTGGATTTTTTGTATTACTAAGTTTTTTTCAAGGCAAGCTCAGCCAGCCTGACCTAAAAAATGCAGGGGCTTTACATCAAGTATGGCACGTGTAAGCAACTCACAGATGGGCTTACTTGAGGTTGGCTCGCTAACAGTTCAGGGGTGGGAAGGGTAGGTTTTGGACTAGTCAGTCAAGGGGGTTTACTTTGTGGATAAAAGTGGCCTCTAGGCTTCATGGGAGCACTATATTTAGCTTATTGTTTTCTAGGGCTGCCTCCCATGATTAGCTGGTGGGCTAGATTGCTGTAGTTGAGGAATTTTTATTTTCCAAAGTTTGGGCCTTGGGAAAGCACTTTGAGTTTGTTGTTCCCTTTGGTATGGGTTAGAGTTAGGGCTTAGGTGAATCCACTGAATTGCATCTGCCACATCCAAGGTTGTTTATGTCAACATGTAACCAACTGAACATTTCCTGGCATAGGCCCCAAAGGTCATTGCTCTGAAATCAAACTTGCAATGTGGTTATCATGAAACTTTTAAAAAAACACACACACCAGTTCAATATTAATTAAACAGGATCGGTTAAGCACCTTATTTGAACATACCTTCTTTGATGTGTGTGTTTATTTAAAGCTGTTCTTATTAATTTTGATCCACAGGAACCCATTAGAAGTCTAGGTCCAAGCATAGTCTCTTCCAGCACATTAAACCTTCATCTAACCCTTCCTCTCCCAGGAGTAAGTTTGTTACATGCTTGTGCAAAGACTGTCTCAGCCCCTCCAAAGGTGAGATACAATACTGACAATAATGTCATAGTATTTACAGTTTAGTCAGAGCTATTTAAACAAAACTAAACAATGAGATAGATGTATAGTATAATCTAGCCAATCTTAGCCATGCAAAGCATGACCTTGCATTAATTTCAGCGGTAGCATTGAAAGTTTTTGATGAATGAAATGTTCTTAAAATGTGATCTTTACATGGGGTACCAGTGGTATTTATTCAAAACTACTCTCATAAATAACTACTTTTATTATGGTCAAATTTCCTTGCAGTTCATGACACCCCACGCTCTAACTTAACATAAAACTGAGGTAGAATGATGGGTGTTACGAAAACTAAGACCCCGAAAACTAAAACCTAAAACCCAAGACCCCGAAAACTAAGACACCGAAAACTAATACCCCAAAAACTAAGATCCCCCGTCTTTTCATTGATTTTCACTTTTCTGGTGGGTCTTAGTTTTCATAATTACAAAAGCTCATTATGAATACCAAGACCCCATCTTATTTTACTTGTTTATCAGTTATTTCATTTTAATAAATAGAATATGTTGAAATGTAAAAAGCAAATAATAGACAGAAATTAACACCCCATCTTTTCAATGATTTATCACTTCTCCGGTGGGTCTTACTTTTTGTAATTATGGAACCTTATTACGAAAACTAAGACCCCATCTCATTTTTCTTGTTATCCATTTTTATTTTTGAAGGTGAGTGGGAGAGTTTATACCTCATCTTGATTCGTTGCTTTTCTGGTTGGATCGAAGAACCTGGTTGCTTTAAGATTTAAGTGGGATTTTCTATAAGCCTTTCCTTGCGTTTCAAAGTATTTTCTCGCGCGACGGGCAATTCTTAAATTTCCTCCCAGACACTGAGCTATTTTTAGAATTGTTTTGAATCGTTCTACAAGATGCAAAAATCATGGAAGTTGAGGAAATTTTTTTAAATGGAACAGTTCAGACTTAATCAGGGTTTGCACACTTTAATAATAAGTAGTGTCGTTAGTAAGGTACGTTTTAGCGTACAGGACGGTTTGAAAATTTGTAACGCAGTTGTTGTTGTTGTTGTTGTTCAGTTGTTGTTCAGTCCCATAGACCTTATTCACAAATGGTGGTCGTTTCCCTATTTTTCATATGAATGACCTCGTAAACATGTGCAAATGATAACAAATGAGGCTGCGAGAACAAAATTCCATGTGGATAAAATTGACCATCATTTTTTAACAGGGTATAATGAATGGCTAATAGTTGACTTTTAAATAATCAAAACAAAAACAATGTAGGTTCATCAGAATGAGCCTATTCAAAGAATCTTTAACTTAACAGCTGTTGATATTTATGGTAATTTCTGCAAATATTCCTGTTCCATTTAAAAAATTTCCTCAAGTTCCATGATTTTTGCATCTGGTAGAATGATTCAAAACATTTGCAAAACAGTTCTAAAATAGCTCAGTGTCTGGGAGGAAATTTAAGAATCACCCATCGCGTGAGAAAATACTTCGAAAAGCAAGGAAAGGTTTATAGAAAATCCCACTTAATCTTACAGAAACCAGGTTCTTCGATCCAACCGGAAACAACAAATCAAGATGATGTATAAACTCTCCCGCTCACCTTCAAAAAAAATGGATAAACAAGAAAAATGAGATGGGGTCTTAGTTTTCATAATGAGGTTTTGTAAGTACGAAAACTAAGACCCACCAGAAAAGTGATAAACCATTGAAAAGACGGGGTGTTAATTGCTGTCTATTATTCGCTTTTTACATTTCAACATATTTATTTATTAAACTAAAATACAACTGAGAAACAAGAAAAAGAAGATGTGGTCTTGGTTTTCGTAATGAGCTTTCATAATTATGAAAACTAAGACCCACCGGAAAAATGAAAATCAATGAAAAGACGGGCATCTTAGTTTTCAGGGTCTTAGTTTTCATAACACCCGTAGAATGATAAATGTGTGAAATAGCTCCCTAACAGTGCATATTTATTAACTACATATTAATTTTATTGTGCTGATCTATTTAATCAGTAAGAGAAATAACAGATTCAAGAGGTTTTTTGGAGGCTAGATTACAAATTGAATACATATAGCAAGAAGAGGTCAGTGATACATGAAGGCACACACAACTGAGCTGAATGTTCTAAATGTTCTCAAAAGCAACAAGTGCATTCTCTCAAACTAATGAAAATAATGCTGAATTTTTATTAACATAGTGAAACCCTATTTTATACTTTTGCTTCCAAAACTGGCCAGTTCTTATTACTGTCTTCTTACTTGTCTCATCATAGGAGAGTGGAAGCCCATACACTCCCCAACTTCTAAAAGTTTTCACATTGTGTATTCATGAAAGGAGACCAACTAAGAAGCAAAATTGTTAATTAAAGCTGCACCCTCCTTAATAGATATTAATGGTATGATAATATGACTTTATTGTCTTCAGTGTACCTTCAGGGTTTTATTGTTTCCTTACTACCAGGCTAATAATAAATTGATAGTCTGATAGGCTAAGGTTTAGATACATGCAGGGGGCATCTAGACTGGCCTCTATCAGTATTTTATTCCAGCATCCATAGGAGGAGTTCTTGAGGTAGTAATTGTTCCATGAAGTCTTCACTCCCACCCCCAGATGGGATTAGATAGATAATAATCTTTAGACAGGGTGCGTTCTCACAGAAGTGGTTTTCAGAACGGCCCTGTAACTGCCCACCCAAACCACCACAGGGAGGACATCCATCACACAGTAATCTCATGCGTGGGAAATTAACGTCTCCTACCCCAACCCTGCAGGAGACGGGACCTCCATTTATTCGTCCCTCTCCGAGAAGACTAGAATATCTAACCATTTCTTGATGTTAAAGAAAGGAAGCGTATTCTTCTCAGTTAATTCTAAGACCCTGAGTGTTGGTCCGGCCGGTATTGAACTCTCGACCTCCCGCACAGCAGTCCGGCGCTCTCCCAATTGAGCTAACCAGGCGGCGGTCTTTTATCATGGTCGGATTACCATGATAAAAGCTTGTGTATGAGCCACACCCCCAAGGTGCAACTGTGATTTTAAATTTTGACAAATTTTGACAAAAATATGCAGCTTTTGCACAATTAGCTTTCAAGGTATTTGATTAAATGGTCACAGGTATTAGTTGCAAATCAGACTCTCATTGGACTTGACTTCCACAGAATTCTCACTTGTTTGTTCAGCTTCACAGATTCAGCTTGATATTCCATCTTTTAATTATGTGTTATTATGTCAATACCTAATCTAAACAATTATATCTAACCATAATTAGTGGGGCTCTGTTGTCTTCTAATACTCTCCTTTGCTTTTCATGACAGGTTGAAGGAGTAAGACTCATTTCTGTTTCTCCTTATGAGGTTCTTGTGGTTTGGAAAGATGTACCATCAAGGTGAATAAATACCTTGCTGAGCTACAATCTGTGACAAAATAGTCGACACATCACCACCAAGATTGCAAAAACCCTGAAATAGTGACACCCTTAATTGTAGCACTTTCTCCTCTTGTGCAGTGTTGTTCTTTGTTTTCTGTGATTTTGCAACAATGAGGGGAGGAGATGTTGCTGTAATTTAAGGTTCATTTGAGATTTCCTATCTTACTACTTCCATAAAAGTGGGTATGTGACAGTGGTGGATCCAGACCTAGAGCTAATGGGGGGCTCATTTTTGTTTGTGTGTTCAGCTGCCAGCTTTTCCACCCTCTGTGTTTATTTTTTTACCCAAAATAAGGGCAGCCCAGGCCCCCTGTTTCCCTCTCCTAGATCCACCACTGCATGAATGTCTCAACTAATGTTGCCCAGATTGTGGCTGCTATGAAGGTCTTTTTTTGAGTAAAATTTAATTTGGACAGGCACCAATTTATTTTAAAATAGCACCTCTATTGGCCCTTACACCCTTACATCAGTATGCATATTCTCCATACTGCTCCCTATGCATTTCTTAAGGTACTGACGAGGAGAATTTGTTTAACAATCAAGAGCTCTTATTTGGTGACCATTTCCTTTATTCTTGTGACCTTTGTATCTGATTCAGGGGTGGTATTGCAAGGAGGAAATAGATGCTGGTCACTTGTAGAGGTTAGAGGGTTCATCAACACTAAAGGGCCTATGCTGAAGACACAAAATTATTATTATAATAAGTACATACAAGTAAGGCCTTATTCACCCAGACATAATCTTTGGCCAAACCTACTCATACAAATTTATTTACTTTTTGCTAAATGGTTGTAGATGCATTACTACCTTTGAAGTCTTGTACTCAGCAAAAAGTCCTGGTGGACCTTTTAAACGAGTCAATGAAGTTGATATTATCTTCACAAGTTTTCATCATTTGATGTCTCAAGGTAATAAGAACTACTGGTATCTATAACACATGTTGATATTTTTACAGTGTGATTTTCAACTAGTGTTGGAAGTAATTGAAGAATTTGTTGATTCTGCCTGACAATTCTCTGTAATTACTCTTACATTAAATGCAGTAAAACTTAAGTTAGTTAAGATCAAGGGGTATTAGTTCTAATATAGTGTGAGTTTTCATTTGTTTCTTGCATTGTTAATTTTTGCTTTGACTGACTGGTGCAATTTTGCTTGTCATGCCTCTATTAAACTAAACCCTAAAACTAATGTCAAAAAAGCTCCCACAATAAGTTGAAAATTATAGAAGGCATGCCATTATTAATTTCTCATGGATTTCTGTATCAAATGGATAGTCATTTTTGATCAACAGTGTCTTATTGAATGTGATTGGGGACTATTTACTTTTAATTGTCTACTATCATGTCGATTTATTTTGTTCCATGCAATTATTATGTGTCTGAGATAATTGTGGACTGCACTGCAGTGTTGTTCAAGATACTTAATAACTTTGAATGAACTGAACAACTTTGAATAAATTGTCTGAATGAATTTCAATAAACTGTTGATTTTGCAGATGACAGAAATAATGTACAAGGCTGGTATTCCATTGTGGCTGTGGATTACTGGGGAAGACACAGCCCAGGTTCAGTGCCAATCACACATAGCAAGAGAAAAGAATGATGTCATATTTACCATTTGAAAGTAAATGAATTTTGGAGCCCAAAAATTGTATTGCTATTCTTCTCAAATACTTACCTTAATACAAGTCTATTTAGCTCTGAAACTTTGTAGTAATCTTGTACATTATTTTTCATGACTAGTGTGTCACTTGGTTGAACAAGCTCAATACTGTTTTCATTTAAATAGTACCTCCAAATATTAAGTAATTTGTGACATTTGAGTGACATGGGAACGAATTAGTGAGAATTAATATTACGATGGCATGTTGAAGCGGTTCAAGTGGGATCATGAAAGTTTTGGATGACTTAAGCGTTTTGTGGGAAAATTAAGTCATTCTAGGTCAGTCAGTCTTATGTTTCACCTCTTTCTATTCTCTTAATTGATGTAATTTTGTTTTCCAACTCTGTGAAATATCACTATATTCATTGATTTTTCTGTGTGATTAGTAGTGAAGCCAGGTTAGTTACCTCTGCCATGGGATATCATGCTGCTTCATTAGATGAGGAATACATTCCACATATTTTTTGGCCACTTCTTAAGAGTTATTCTTCAGTGGTTTTTTCATACCTGGGCATAGCACAGGTTCCTTTTGTAGAACCCTTCAGTTTCAGTGTATGCATTAAGATTGTATTAGGATGTGTATGCTACAAGACTGGCTGACTCATCCCCAATAAATTTTCACACTGAATAACTTGTGTGAGTGCAGTCGGGATATGAGTGTTCTTGGTAAAGCATTTCTGGTATATTTAAGAAACAAAATTGTCATTTACTCTTATCGTGTTGAGATTACATTTACAAAGGGTCAAACTTATAAAGGGACAGACTTTCCCTCCTTGGCTGTATTTTTCACATTAGGACTTATTTCCAAATTTCTCACTTGTATTGAGTAGGAACAAACTGCACTTGTTTGGAAAAGAGGTCCTTTATGTTAGAGTGATAATATAATTATGTCACTATGTGATGATGACAGCCTTGAGGTTAAGTCCCCTGCATTTTCATTGGCTAGGCTGGCTTGAAGGCATCATACTCTTCAGGATTTTGGAACCCTCTAGAATCTCAAGCACCCTCCAACCACAGGGTATTCACCTACTAGCTGAGCTCTGCCAGGGCATGAACCTAACTGTCAGTCCTGCAACATAGTGGGCACGTTTTTGCAAATCCAAGCACACCATACACACACATAGTAAACGACATTTTGTTACTATTTCAAGCCATACTATTCTGCTAAAATGTTTCAATTCAAAACTATCACCTCCTTGCTTTCACCTTTATTTCATTATAATCATATCCTAAAATGATAATGACTAAGTAATTAAAATCATGTCATGGGTAAGGCCACTCACAAGATCCACATGCACAAAATAAGAAGACTTACAGATAACAAGTTTACATTTTTAAACTATGACTTACACTGATTAAGCAACAGCCACTAGGTGATGCTTGTCATATCATTCAGTAGCATTCAGCAAATGTAAAACAGCTGCAGGGTATTTGTAACAGAACATGTAGTCACACAAAATTAATCAATAGCAGCTTTCTCTGAATTGCTTATTGACAAAAAAAAGGTTTTCTTTTTAAGAGACTAAAATTTTTATCTTTTTATCAGAAATGATCAACCACTCTCCAGTTTAAACTAAAATTGGTAATCAAAAGTAAATAACAGTAGCTAAGACATATTAGTCTGAATATAAGGAAACAAGGAAGTAGAATGAATTATCAATTAAAGTACCACCACAGGCAAGAAATTAATCAGTGATGAGTCAAACTGAAAAATTTCAGTATTTGTTAGGAATTGGTGTATGCTACATTCCCACCTGTAAATATGGTTGCTCTACAAATGAAGTGGACAATCGAGGTTGGAAAAAACATTTTAAACATATTTCACAGCTTTTAACTCCATTTTGCTCCCAAGATCTCATTAGTAATTCTCCTAACTATCTGCCATACAATTCTTATGATGTTAGTTTGGAAAATTCAGTAATGGAAAACTAATAACCCCCTAGTAGGTATTTTTCTCTATTCTTACTACTTGTCTGCTTGATATTGTGTTGATGTAGTAAGGAGAAATCTGTCTTGGTCACTCATGGGAGTAAAGAGTGGTTATTTAATCTTTAGTTCAGTGAAAATCCTTATCAAACCATACAACATGACATATGAAGAAGAGTGTACTGCAGTTAGTATGGTGGAGGAGAAAACTTGTCAGCACCATCTTCACCATTAAAACTATCAGCTGGTGGTTCAGAGAATGGTTTTGCCTGATAAGGATCTCCTTGATCTTGAGCAGTTGGAAATGATGCATATGGTGATGAATAGGAATCTCCAGACAGATTATCCCTGGAATATTCAAACTCTGTCAAGAGCTGACGATACTTCCTGAATGCCATAACACTAAGACCAGCCTGAAGATGGGATGATAAAACTTAACTAAGTTTCATTCTCAAAAAAAGTTTTATCACTAAGAAATTAAATTACAGGTGATCAAACAAAGGCATAAAACAAGGAAGATGAAAAATAATCAGCCATACATCCTGTAGAGTCCAATTCAATTTGTGATCAAATTATCTAATCTTTACATTTGCGGGTTTTCTTTTGTGAAACCAAAAATAGTCACTAGTAGCATAAATCTAAGAAAAATATACTTCAGAGGGTGGTGTAATGTAATCAAAAACTAAACTTAATTCAACTTTGATCTCTTCATTTTGTAAATTACTATTAATAGTTATAAAGAAAACAAACCAAACGCTTTAAGGCTTCTGGCAAATGAGATTTTCATCAGAAAAAGACTCTAAAGTATGGAGAAGGCTTACACAGGTTTGAATAGTCAAGAACTGAACTGCAAGTACATCGCATTTTGAGTACAGTGGGAAATTTTTATCCATGAAATAGGGTTATACACTACTTTTAGTGAATGTACTGAAAGTAAATATGATTGACTTAGTAATCTTTTTTTTTTTGCCATAATTGTAATGCCTCTTTCTGTTTTTTTTTTGTTTGTTTTATTTTTGGCTATAACCCAAGAAAATTAATTTTAAAATATGAAAATCAATTTAAATCTCAGCAATGAAAACAAGGTGTGATTTTGAAGAAATATACAATTACACTGATTACATTTCCTCATTTGACATTAGATCTCCTTACCCATGTGATGATGGAGAAAAATGAGAAAGTAATAGCAGCTTGGCAATTGTTACGCTGAGAAGTACTGAAAGGATGCTTGTCTGCCTTCCTCCACATATCCGCAAGATAGCAAAAACCAATGAACCACAAGAAGCACCAGAGTGCAGAGAAAGCTAGGTCGCCCAAAACAATGTACTTCTTTGTATCAGGGTTTTCAATGGATTCAAACTGTACATCTAAGGCTAGGAATGCAATGCAGCCCAAGAATGCAATGATACCAATTCCAACACCATAGTGGCATGCACCAGCTCTCTCATTAAACAAGCAAAGGCTATTGACATCATAACCACCAGCAGAAATACAACCAAACACAATGATGGAAAACAACTGAAAGAAAAATTTGTGACATTAAATTATAAACATAACAACAACAACAACAACAACAACAAATAATAAAATAATAATAATAATAATAATATTCACCAATGAGGCTTTTCAGGGCCTGTGCAAACAGGAATCAAACACTGTAAACAGACATAGTGTTTAAAACTCCTAACTGGCAGGAGGCAGACCAGTTGCCTATATACAAAGTGTAGAGTTGAACTCACAGCAAACAAGAACAAAGCCAAAGATTGGCAAGGGGAAGGGCTTAAACCCAAGAAACCAGATAACAAGTCCAGCACCCAAACCAGTCAGCCACACTGCCTCCTTAATTTAAGCATTACATCACCAAGGGAACATTAAACTAAAGGATGGCTCAGAGACATTAAAAAATCACTTACATTTAGAAAGAATCACCAAATATGCACACTTCCCATTATATATTAAGCATGTGTTACAATGAAAAAATGCTGGAATAAACGTAAATGACAGTTCACTTGATGTGTACCATTACCATGCTCTACAGGGCATCCACTAAACTATGGTATTGGCCAGAGATATACAATCCATGTACAACTACTACCAGATAACTACTCATTCCAAACCTGTACATAATTTAAAGGACATTTCAAAAAACACTGTAGCTATATGCCCAATAGCAAAGCAAGTTCTTATAAAATGGGCTAATTACCTGCCACTTTGAAATCTTCCCAGAATTTCCAATAACACATTCTTTCAAAAATTTCAACTCATAACAGTATTTCCATGGCATGATCTTTAAGACATTTCCAAATCCAACATAATATCCACTCAAATTTCTACTGCCAATTTCTTTTCTACTTTTTTCCTTGGCAACCTGGAGCTTGATTTTGCTTCCTTTCCAAGACTGGTTTCATTTTCATTGATAATAACATCTTTGCTACCCTATTACATTCACAACTATTAAGTATATTACATTTGCTGTCTATATATCATGAAGTCTAAAATTTCCTGAACAACCCCAACAGAGAGGTAAACTTTACTTGAACTAGAGCCAAGAGCATACATTCATTGATCAAAAGGTAAGATTTTCTAGATTTTTCACTAGACTTGGTCTGAATATGAGATACCTCCACTGAAAAACATATAAGACCCTGCAACTCATTTTTGCTAGTAAAGGGTCCTAAGGGCAAAATGGTTCCTTCAAGATTTTGGGTCAAAGATTGTAAGCATCTATTGCATTTGGCTTGGCAGTGCCATGGCAAAAATTGGACAATTGATTCATTTTTTAAAATTTTCTTATTCATATGACCTTTTATGATTAATATGGCCCTGGCATAATGCAAAGAATGGTTGAAGAGATAGGTTCTTACATTTTCTAAAAATCCCCAAACTGATCATAAAAATGCAATTGTTTGGATACAAGACCACCTTATCAAATAGTCTAACAGATGAGAACATGACTGTTTCACTTTGCAGGTATACTTTTTACACATTACCACTAACGGTAGAAACCAGATGTTCTAACAAAAACTGTCCATTCTCCCTTTTGCCCAGTACTAGAATTTCCTCGAAAGCCATGTATTCAAAGAGAGAGGCAGTGACCACGACTGCAGAGGTTGGCGAAATAAACTGCTACAAGTAGAAATCAGTAGGAAACTGATTACCAAGAAAAAATTGTGAATACTAGAGAATTCAAACCTGGGACTGCAGTACCCAAACATCCTGCAAAGAGCGCCTCCAACATACAGAACAACCAGTTTTGAGGGATTTAAGCTTGTTTGTTGAGCTTGAGCAATATACTGAATTGATTTAAGTGGTGGGGCTTATCCCAGCAGGCCTTATAACGGATCAAAACCCGTTCCAGATCATTGTTAGATTCCACATCGGCTTCCCAGGTTTGATGACAATTTCATTTGCATGACATAGGAAAAGTTGTAAAATGTTCAACAACCCTTTCACCGAGAAAATAGAGGATTTCGCGATAAAACAATAACTAAAACTGAGCTAACCAAAACTCACTATAGAAATAAGCCTTAGAATTGTCTGTGGCTTTTGGAGAAAGGCGGTGATTCTTTCCACGCCGTCACCATCCATTTTGTTTCACTTCCAGCGAGAAGGAATGGTTACTCAGCTGACTGTATGATGAAATTTACTATTTATGGAATACTGGGAAACATTCGAAGAAAATTAGAGAACGAAAGTCATAAGCATATCCATCCGATGTTCACCACGACCTTTGCGAAGGAGTAGCTTACAAGGTAAGATTGCCGTTGATGATTAGAAAATGATATATGAACTTGTCATGGGCGGAACAGTGAAGAATACGCGATTTTATCATGGTGCCATAGCGAATCCATTGAGTGAACTTTGTTCATTTTTTCGTTCTCTATCACAACGTAGCCACAGTCACTACTGGACTGATATTGGTACGGATTTAAGTTGTTACAATTATAATAACAATAGCCACATTAATTAGTAAGATACTAAAACCACAAGTAAGTTACAAGAAAAGATCTTCATAATGATGGCATAAGCATGTCTCTAAAAAAAGTTGTCTATTTCTTACGATATTTATCCTACTTGCTACTAGTACGACCTTATGAAAAGATCTTCGCCTTGAAAAAGATCAAATTTTGTGTTTGTTTTCATACATCATGACAAATCTGAACCACTCAAGCAAACGGGCATAGAATTGGGACTAAGTAAGCCTTTGCCAACAAAGCCATCCCCTCTTTTTTTCGTTTTGCGTCGAATGCGTTAACTGATATTGAGTAGATCGGTCGGATTGAAAAAAAGAGAAAAAAACTGAAAAAAAAAAAAAAATCGCAAAAAGTCTCTGAATAGGGGGCCTGGTACCGCAACCATCATTTAAACAGGTTATAAATTTGGATTAGCTAAATGCACATTCTACTGTAAAGAATATTCCTGATTTTGGTCCAGCCTGTTTTTCTCTGTTGTTACTATGCTCATTTTTCAGATGAAAAGAATTATCTAAAGTGAAAAAAGAATTATCATAGTGAAAAATAGTTCATCGATGTCATTCCTTTTTTTTTTAATTGCACTAAACAAGAAAAGCAATTGAATTAAAAAAACTAACTTACAAACTGTATCAAATCCTAAAAACAAGAAAATGAAAACACTGGAACAAGGGAATTAAAACCACCAAAGAAACTGAAAGAGAAAAATTACATTGAGCTTGCTGGTGAAATGACCCAAACAAAAGCATAAACTAAAAAATGGGTGGGGTGGGGTATTCCACCTTTCATGTACTTTTATGCTGAAATATAATTTGTACTCTAAAGTAATTTTGTAATTGTAAGACTGAGGTAGTCCTGATACAGGAGACAATTGCCATCACAAGACTGCTTGAATTGTGCTATCTTGTTTGTGATGTAACCCTTTAACTCCCAGAAGTGATCAACATATAACTTCTCTCTTTGATATCTGTTACAACAGGAAAGGTTTCGTGGCGAACAGATAAGTGCCGACTGCTTGTTTGACTCTAGACTTGGCCAGTTTTTGGGTCCTCAACAAAGAGAGACTCGCACACACTTTAGTCCTGATTAAATGTAACTTTATAATAATAATAATGATGACAATCTTTAATGAGGAAACTTTTTCACTAAAAAGTGGTTTACAAAAAGGACCTCGAAAATTAAAAATTAAAAATTTACAATGAATAAAAATGCTAAAAGATGCTACTAAAAACTAATGTATCTTATGTGTAATACAAAACTTAAATCAATGAATTAAAAATCTTACGCTTCAAAATATTTACATTATCAGCGGCTCGTATAGTTTTGTCCAGCGAGTTAAAATCACTTACAGCATGATAGCCAGTTCTTTGTTTGCCCCAGTTTCTTTTAACGGATGGAATTTTGAGGTTTGCTTTATTTCTTGTGTTGTAACTATGCTGTTCTTGCTGAGTGACTAATGTTAGTTCGTGATGCGTGAGACTATTAAGACATTTATATACATGTACGCATCGGCGCTGGAAGCGCCTTTTTTCTAGTGTTAACCACTTCAGTGTAGTTAACGCATCAGACGCAGAGGAATACAGTGGTCGATCTAATATTATTTTAGCCGCCTTATTTTGAAGCACTTGCAAACTAGACATTAAAGTTACATTATGTTTGTCTCCCCAAACTAAATCAGCATACTCGAATAAGGGCATAACAAGGCTTTTATAAAAAAGGATGCGCGCCTTAAACGGTAACAAATGCTTAATGCGTCTAAGTAGGCCAAGCCTTTGATTAACTTTCCCTGCCATGTATTCGACATGATTTGTCCACGAAAAATCAGACGATATTAAGATTCCAAGATATTTAAAACAAGTAACATTGTTTATACAATGATCAAAAATTGAAACAGTTAGAGCTATTTTCCTCTGTAACTTCTTGTTACTGCCTATGAGCATGCATTTGGTTTTGTCCAGATTCAGTGTTAACTTATGTTCATTCAGCCATTTAGCCACAGCCAGGAGGTCTTGGTTGAGCTTTTCAGTCAGCTCCTGAGATTTATCGCTAAATCAAAGTGCTTAAAACATATTGGTGGCTAGTTTTTGTGATTAAATATGTGAGCCTGAGGCGCGTGGTTTCCTTTCTAGTAAATACCTTGATTCGAACGTGAGCATGTTTTGTTCTACCCTATTTAGCTACATAAATCCTGCTCTGTTAAGATCACACTTTGCACATTTTTGCATGTCACAAGGATCATATTTCTGCTTTACAGTAACCTAGTAATTGATCTATTCTTAAACTTAGGATGACAGGTCATGTTTCAATGTGCTAGGGTCACGCTTCCTTTAGTTTTACTACATATCCAGACATTATCCAGCACACAGGTGAAAATGCTTCAACTTTTTGGGTAGATGTTGCTATCTTGACCTAACACCAAAACATATTAACTAATTTTCAAGGAAATTTGTAACTACTAGAGAGGAGAATTAGCATTGCCAAATTATCTGATGTTTACCATAATATGTGGAGACGTGGTGGCCTCATGGTTGGTGTGCTCAACTCCGGATCAAGTGGTCCGGGTTCGAGTCCCGGCCGGGACATTGTGTTGTGTTCTTAGGCAAGACACTTTACTCTCACAGTGCCTCTCTTCACCCAGGTGTATAAATGGGTACCGGCAAATTTAATGCTGGGGGATAACCCTGCGATGGACTGGCATCCCATCCAGGGGGGAGTAGAAATACTCCTAGTCACTTCATGCTATAGAAACTGGAGTTAAGCACCGGCCTAATGGGCCACTAGGCTCGTAAACAGACTTTACCTTACCATAATATATAGATACAAAGTGCATGCTTGATGCAAAAATGTTTATAACAAAAATCGTATTACCTTGGATTTTCTTGACTGAACTGTAATGGAATGCCATTGTGCTCAAAACATGACGGCCTAACCCAATTAGACCAAGGTAACTAGATGTGATGCAAATTATGCCTTAGTGAATCGCCTGAGTACCATAAGCCAATTCTCTGGCATGTTTTTGGTTAATCTTCAATAAGTCACTGCAGAGGATAGAGAACATTTAGAACAGTGGCACATGTCAAATTGCATTCTTGAAGAGGGCTTTCAAATTGATATTTGTCTAGTCATTAAAAAAGTACCATTTCTATTTTAGGCGTTAAAGCTAAATGAAATGTCTTCTTGGTTTTCTCTAAAATTTCTGAGGATACTTGGTGTTATGTTATTCTGCAGTCAATCACCATTTCTACATAAATCTAAAAGCAGAAACAAAAGAAAATGAAAGTGGAATCCTTCAATCCCAACTCAGGACATGTTTTTGTACCCTCTGAAACATTACATCTATTTCCCAAGTGGTCCACAACAGAGCAACATTGACAGAATTTTGAATGATTATCTCAAGTTTCTTAGTATGCATGTTACTGAAAATCAAAGAGATTTAAGTCATTGATGTTTTCATCATAGAGCAGTTCATTCATTTTAGTTATTATTATTGCTTTCTTTCAATTTTTCATGGATGAACTAAGAGTAAATCTGTTTACAAAAGTAGAATAAGTTTTTTGTTATTTGTTGAAAGCTTCACTTATAGTTATGTCGTAAAAAACTTGCAAATGTAAAAACTTTTTGATTACAAAAAGGTCGTACATTTAGAAACTTAACTTTTCCTGATAAAAATATAAGCTTGCCTTTTGTTCACACATATGAGATTATAACTTCATAAAACCTAAAGACATGAAGTCTACTTCTTAATGATGTCATATACTGCAGTATATGGGTGCAAGATGAGTATATAGTTATTTGCTGTGGGTTAAAGTAGTATTCTGTTTAAATTCCTTACTAGTTGAATTGAAGGTAATAAAATCAAATTAAAATTGGTTTAAAAATTTCTAAGTCAGTTACAAAGTACTATGATTTCTCAAGTTACCCCTTTTTAAGATAAGTTGCTTAGGTTTTGTTACATAGCAATTGTTAAAACATTACTGCATTTGGACTTCTGAGCTTCTTTATTAGAAAGAGAGGACCCATGTCACAATGGACATTGTTATTGACCTAGTCTTTCACTCAACAAAACAAGCACTGTGATTAGTTGATTCTTGGTCATGTGTCCCTGATCAAATTCAAATGTATCGCGACTGGGATACAATATGCAGTTGTTGCCTGCAGCCAAATACAACAGCATGGTTTTACCATATGATTGTTGAAGTTCTGATTTAAATATATAACAAAGCACTTAATGTATGGTCCCTTGGGAAACTAGTTAGTTTTGTTTTCCCTGGAGTCCTGATGTTTCCCTTGACTTCATCTCAGGAAAGTTCAGGACTTGAGGGAAAACTAAACTAACTGTTTTCCTCAGGACCATACATTAAGTGTATAATGTACTTCAAACAAGTTATTGGAAGACTGAGCCTTGACAGTTACTTGAGTTTCACATTCAAATTTTTAGCTGATAACAAGTAAGAAAATGTCTGAGGTTGACAGAGATGCTGCCACAAAGGAAGATGAGGATATTATCAACAGCACAGTGGACAGAGAGGGTATCACTGTGGATGCTGAATTCTCCAATCATGGTAACTGAGCTTGACCAGAATTAATAAGCAATTTTATTCAAACACTTGAAGTTTTGTGGGTGGCAAAACAGAAGTAGAAGGGGTCAGCGAGGAGTTCAATTCATCACAAATTTGTTCCAGGTTTTGCAAACTTTGCTTGATCTCTGGTAATCAGTAACTCTTACACTTAGCCCCTTAGACTTAGAAGAACCCGAAGTGGATATTTATGGACTGTATAAACTTTGTTCCTCCACAAACTTCCTTTTGCTCTTCTTTTGGGAAGGGAAGTGGTGGGTCCATGTGTCTAAGATTTTGTCATCCTTTCTTGGATTGCATATGAATGTTAAATGAACCCACAGACAAGAATTTGTGGCCGCTTATTGCTTTGCCTGTAAATGTACTTCTTATTGCTGCATGAATATATAAACCAGTGAACCAAATGTATCACAATTTACTGTTACATTGCCATAACTTACATCAACTTTTTTTTGTAGATTTAATTGAAAGGGAGAAGGAAACTGTGTCTAGTCCACCAAGAATAATATTCTGTGTCACTGAAATTGCAACAAACAACACTTCGCTGCTTAAAGGAATACCTAAAGAACCCATATTGCAGTCCTCTGACCAGCATGTATTGTTTGGGCGTGGCCATTCAGCGGGGGTGTTTTTGAATGATGACATCGCTTCAAGAGAACACATGAAGCTTTCACTTCAAACAAACCCTTACACAGGTGAAAGTAATTTTTGTGTGGAAACCGTCAGTGAAACAAAGCCAGTTATTATAAATGGAACACCATTGTTCAAGCAAGATGGCATTAAATTTCTGAAAACCAATGACAAACTTGGTATTGGTAAGCTGGTATTCATCCTTCAAATTGTGCCTGGAGATTCACTTGAGTTTTATGAAGTTGAATTTATGACAAGCACTTCACTTCCTCATCAATATTATAAGCAACAGACAAACAATCCCATGCCTTATGCACCACCAATGGGTGCATTTAATTCCAGGCCAAACATCATGGCCAACCAGATTGGTGCTGTTTTTCTACAAAATAACTTGGGAACACCTGTAGGGAATCCAACACTTAATATGAACGTTATGACTGATGGAGGAGGATTCCCACAATTTGGCACTATGGTATCTCCTCAGCAGCAACAGCCTTTCCAACAGCAACCTATTGGATATTCACTGATTCCAAATAAAATTGGAATGAGCCAGCACCCTCTTCAACAGCAGGCAGCAAACATTAACTTTCATTATCAGTTACCAGACTCAACATATCCCACAACACAAAGCTTCCTCTTGCCTCATCAGATACCATCCCCAAGTGGAAGACAAGTGCACCAAAATAGCAACAAACACCCGACTGAGCACAGTGACAAGTTCAAGGAAAATGGCCACAGCAGTACTTCCCTTGTTCCAATACAAGAGACCATTCATTCAAAAGATTATGTTAAGTAACTTTAGAGTGACTATATATATACATGTAGTGAATTCATTTATGAATTGCAAAAAAGCTACTAATGCTTGGTAAAGACTGGAGCACGCTTAGTGAATTCTAGCCTTCTGATTCTCTTAGTCGGCATGACGTCTAAAACCCCGTGCCCTTCATAGCAACGTGTCCGCCATTTTGACAAAAGGGAAAACAAAAACCACATCGAAGGTGAATTTTCACTGTTGGAACATAAATCTCATCGTAAAACATGGTTCCTCCTGGTGTTTATTCTAATTCGGCTTTTCAATCGTTGTGTATACAAATTATATTAAAATGTCATTCCAGTATTCAGAGAATTTAACAGCTGTAGCATTCGCACGATAGAAGAAAAAATTAGAAGTAATTGGACTTGACTCTCGTCCTTACAAATACCCAGCTGATTCGTGGATAAATAATCCATCAGAGTGGCCTGAAGTTGAATATCCAGATATTTACACTTATTTAGTGAATTGTCCAGATATGAAATTTGATGGGTCAGTCGTAGCTGCACACTGTGATTGTATGGCAGGGTAAGTATTATCTTTGTTTTCACAAATAGATTTTTGAAATAAAGCTTTATCCTACACAAAATCATCAGTTTACACATGAATTGAAGCAACAAGAAACCAAGGTTTAATAAGTTGATCAATTACATTATTTGAATAATTATTTTTTTAGGCTTGGTGAGAGTTGCTCAAACACTGGAGGAATCAGTTCAAATATCTCTTACGGTCTGGAAACTTGACTAGGAATCCAATTTTTTAATACAAAAGATCAGCCCATTTCCAGAAATAATCAATAGCAGTTGTTTTTTTTTTAATCCCTTTCACTACTGCCAAGAAATCAAATGTTACATTGTGTCTCAGCCTAACGAAAGTGAAAAACAGCTGGTCAGCAGCTGATCAATAAGGGGTAAGCTATCTTTAGTTGTTGTTCTAGAGGAAGGAAAACTATTGAGGTAATCAAACAATTTTTTGAAAACTTCCCAGCTGATAGCTATGAACAAAGGCTGATAGTTTCGAAAGAAACTGTTTGGGGCTGCGTCGGTGGGGGTAACGAAATAATTTGAATATATCAATAAAGTTGAAATGGTAAATTGGCCACCGTAACGATTAGAAAAGCTGACGTTTCGAGCGTTAGCCCTCCGTCGGAGCGAATGGTGGATTGTGTGTGCTTTCAAAGGCAGAAAATGGAGCTACGTTATTGGTGGGAACATGGCAACGAGAAAAACACGAATAAATTAGTGGAATGAAAAGCGTCCGTTGATCCCTGTGGGATTTAGACTGCCGCTTTGAAAGATGAGCTTTTGTTCAAGAGTTTTACGGCTTTCCGTGCTACCTAAGTGTAAGGAAAGACCGCAGATTGCAATATGTTGCTTAGAATAATTAGGTAAATTAAAATGTCTGCCGACTGGTTTCGATGTGTCCTTGTCATTCTTTTCCACGTCTCGAAGGTGTTCACGGAATCGGTCACCTACTCTTCTGCCTGTTTCGCCGATGTATATCTTTTTGCAATAAGTGCAAGTTATGCAATAGATTACATTGGCGGAGGTGCACGTGAAGTGATCGGTGATCTTCAAATGGATCGTTTAGGTCCCGATATTTTCTCAGTGTTGTGAATGAAAGGACACGTTTTACATCGTGCACGAGCGCATGTACAAGTGCCTGGTTGGTCATTAGTCTGAAAAGAACTTCTGACCAAAAAATTGCCTGTGTTTTTGTCGCGTTTGAATGAAACGAGCGGAGGCTGCGAGAAGATAGTGCTTGTCTTTGGATCGTTTTGAAGTAATTTAAAGTTTTTAAGAATGATGGATTTAACTGAGCGGTTGTGAGGGTGAAACGTGAGAGTGAATGGATGCGGTCGGAATCTTCCTTATGCGACGTTTGTAGTGCTGAATGTCGATCAATAAGTTGGGCGCGGAGGTAACCCGCTTGAACAGGGTAACCACGTTTATCGAAAAACTGGCACATTGACTCTGATTTGTGGTGGAAATCAGAGTCATCACTACATAAACGACGAAGTCTTAGAAACTGAGAAAAAGGAATGGAATTCTTAACGTGAGATGGATGCGAAGACGAATATAACAAGTAATTATGCGAGTCTGTAGGTTTGTAATACACACTAGTGCATAAACCGTTACCTTCAATTGAAACTTTGA